TGTGTGTGTGTGTGTGTGTGTGTGCGCGTGCGTGCGTGCCTGCGTGTGTGTCTGTATGTTACTCTATATAGCACCTCTTATCTTCGGCACCTTGATAACTGGCAACATAATACATATTTTTGTTGCAAGTGCTGTAAAACTTACTAAAACAAAAAGTAATCTTTTTAACGCTGTTTTCGATTAGATCTATAGAGAAATGAAATAAACCAATACTTGTTCCTCTGTCTACCTTTCAACTTCAAGTTAATTCATATCTTTTTTATCATTTAACTGCAGTGGGTGGTCTGGGAATATATGGATTCAAACAAGGGCTGAGGAGAGGGGAAGGAGAAGAGAGAGAGGAGAGAGAGAGAGAGAGAGAGAGAGAGAGAGAGAGAGAGAGAGAGAGAGAGAGAGAGAGAGAGAGAGAGAGAGAGAGAGGGGGAGTGGGGGGTAGGGAGGGCATGATTATAGTGGGATTTACCTGTCTGTTTTGATTTGTTTGTTTTGTTATTGTTTTTGGTCTGTGTAAGCGTCTATGTAAACACACATGATAATATTATACATGTATATTGTGAAGCGCATCTTGAACATCTAGCTCTCACTGGCAAAACTGAAGGCAAACGGGGCAGGGGTAGGCCCAGAGCAACCTACTTAGGGAACCTAAACAAATGGGTAACAGGGAAAGATGAGGGAAACGTAGCTTTTTAAAGAGCATCCGAGCAAAGGAATGAATGGAGAACCATGATCGCCGATGTCTGTCGCAGATCTGGCACTGGATGAATGAAAGCGCATAGAGTTTGCTGTTGAGTGGGGATATGTCCTATACAAATGTTATTTGTCATTTCAATAATTAGCATTTTTATTATCATAAGTCAATAGGGTCTGCAGTATAGTGGTTATGCTTCTTGACCTTGCAGACTGGAGGTGAATTCGATTTCTTTTTAAGACTTAAAAAAAAAGTCAATAACGACATTTATAGTGTAGATCTGGGTGATGAGAACATTCTGAAACAACCTCAACTTCCTGGGAAGCATACAATGCAAGCAGCCATTTATAGGCGCTAAAACACTAACCTACTGACATGATCTTTCGCTGCCTAAGGCCGG